ATACTTTTAAGTATAAATAATTACCCTTCAAAACCAAATAATATAATATATACTCCAATATAAATTCTCAAAGATTGAAATTGCTTAAGTGGAAGAGACTTTAATTATTAAACAAGAGATTAGGGGTTTAAATCCCACTTTAAACAATTTTAATCAAGCATACTCATCAAACTAAGGCTAAAAGAAAACTATCAGCCATGGGATTCAATACCAAGCTCTCGCATAGTTTCTGGTTCCCAAACTAGTGAACCACAACAAACCTTAGTGATAGAGCTCGTCTAGTTCCGTTACTAAGGTCCGTGGGTCACAGCTTTTCACGGAACTACTCCTAGTTCCGTAACTTACTCTGGTGCACTCTGCCTTCTCAACAACAACACAACAGACACTCCAAAAACTCCACAGAAGATCAAATAGCTTCACAACATCAAATTGCATCAAAACCACATCATATAAACATTTAAACTCCAAACACTTCAACAATTTTAAGCATCAAACATCAACATTTAACTGTATACAAACATCTATAGATTTTATGGGTGAAAAAGCTAAGTTTTAGGTTTCCAAGGGTTATACCTCAAGCTTCAACCTCAAGAATCTTTCTATCTCCAACCTCAAACTAGATATTCTTCCTTACCATCTCCATTTCTCAAGCAACAACCAACACAATACCCAAAAACACATCTAAGCTTAGATAATCTATCTCAAAGACAAGCTAAGATAAATAGAAAAGGGAGGAAGAAGAGAGAAGCTTACCCAAGCTTGAATCTCAAGTCTTGAACCTAGATTTTGCTAGAAGAAGCTTTAAAATGAAGAAGATGATGGAGAGGGAGAGAGACACGAGAGAAAGGTGATGGATGAGTGCTGCTGAAATTTCTAATGAGTGAATAGTGGAACAAGGGAAAATGTTTTCTTTTATAGTTAGGGTTTTAGGGGTAAAAATGTAAAATAAAATTGTAGGGTTCACCTTGCATAATGAACCACAGTCTAAAAAAAATGATTTTTGAATAAATTGGGGTAAAAAATAGATTCTCTAAAAGATGGTTCTAATTAAAACACTTGGTTCAGGTTTCATAGGTTTCTTTCCGATTTCACTCAGATTGACTTTTGGATCGAAAACTTGGTACGAAATGTACCCGAAAATCTAGGATTTTAGATTTAAAATAAGTCTTGGTGTTGAATTTACTTAAAAGTGGCTCAAAATAATTTATTCAACACCGATTTCATCGCAAAAATTTTTACGGAGTGAAAATGGCTATTTCGAAATTTCTTAAAATCGGATATATAAAATTAAATTTTGGGTTGTCACAGAGTATGATTGCACTAGACTGCATAACGAGTATGATTGCACTAGATTGCATAATGAGTATGATTGCACGAGATTGCATAATGAGTATGATTGCACAAGATTGCATAACGAGTATGATTGCACTAGATTGCATAATGAGTATGATTGCACAAGATTGCATAACGAGTATGATTGCACTAGATTGCATAATGAGTATGATTTCACGAGATTGCATATTGAGTATTTGATAGTATGAGTTTCTTAGAGATTGAATGACTGTATGAGATTGCATGATGAGTATATGATAGCATGAGATTGATTTGAGATTATATGATAGCACAAGTTTGCTTATTTAGTTATGTGTTAGCATGAGATTGCTACTGAGGTGTTAGATAGACTTGAGTTCGTTGATAAGTTAAGTATGTGATAGTACGAGCTTGATGATGAGCTAGATAATTGTGAAAGCATGCCCGTTTGGTGATTTGGTTGCAAGCATTTAGAAACCCTGTTGAGCATGATAAACTGTTGTTGAGTGATTGAGAATGTTTGATCTTAGTGTGTGAAACAAATGTTGTCCAAAAGTATATATTGTAGTACTTTACAGAGTTTAATGGAGTTATACTTAGCTTCGTGCTAACGGGTTTGTTTTCTACTTGTTGTTTGTTAACCCCTTTCAGGTGGGCCCAGTTCGTGAGAGAGAGAGAGAGAGAGTACGAGTTAGACTGGACTAGCATTAGTTAGCTTGTGTAGTCTGAAACTCTTGATGTTGATTTACTCTTTTGAGACTTGTAGATGACTACCCTAGCTATGTTTTGATTGTGCTGGACACCGGGGTTTATCCCCTAGTTTGATTAATGTTTAGTAAGACTTTTTATGATTTAGTTGTTATACTTAGCCTGTGCAATCACCGTGAAAGGTGATTGTGGCGGTGACACCTCTAAGTAAGTTTAGTAAGTTTATTCTGCTGCCTTAGCTTACCTTTCAAGGTTAAGTTAGATAATTAAGTTTAAGAAAAGTGGGGTGTTACAAGCATCATTCCTCAAGTTAAGGTGCAAAATAGGAGTCCAAGGAAGCTCTTTTCTAAATTAAAATCAGATCAGTTTAAGGGAGGGAATGTTACGAAAATCAGTTTAATAAAGTTAGCATAAGTATTGTAATAATTAAGATTAGTCAGTAAAGGTTGGTAGGTGTATTTTCTATTCTTATGCATTTAGTTAATCATTGGCATAGTGTCAGTGCATTCCCCTTATTTTGTGCTATGTACTAGCTATAAATAGCGTATGTTTCTGATGAATAAATACTGTATTATTTTCCTATGATTGAGGGAGGGAATGTTACGAAAATCAGTTTAATAAGTTAGCATAATTGTTGTAATAATTCAGATTAGTCAGTCAAGGTATTTAGGTGTATTTGTTATTCTTTTGCATTTAGTTAATCATGGGCATAGTATCCGTGCATTCCCCTATTTTTGTGCTATGTACTAGCTATAAATAGCGTACATTTCTATCTTTCTGATGAATAAATACTGCATTATTTTCCCTTTACAAAGTTTTTCCTTTCTTCATTATTTCAGAGTTTACTTTTCTCCACATCAAATAAGGTAAACAAAATTAAATATGCAATAATTAATATTCACTATTATTTATACAACAATATACGAACTAAAATTTGAAATTAATTAGCTCATCAAATAATAAATAATAATGTCAATTTAGATACATATAAATATTGAGGCCAAAAGAATATTAGGTCAGTCCAACAAAACAACAACAACAACAATAATAATAATAATAATAATAAATGCAATCCAAGCCTAAAAGGGCTTTTAGGAGCTATTGATGCAATTATGCCAAATACCCAACTTGATTTAAAATAATAATATAATAATAATAGTAATAATAACAATAATAATAATAATAATAATAATAATAATAATAATAATATATAACTTTCAACTTTTGCGTTTTTTTATTTTTATTTATTTTTATATAGATTTGATTACTACTCTTTTTTTCTTGTAGTTGGTTCCACGTAGACATGCATGTGCATGAATTCAAATCCGTACGTCTACGACAACGATAATACAAGGATTTCAAATTTGGAAATAACAGTTCAAACACAAGGTTTCATGTTCTCTGCGTTGTTGGCTTCCTCAATTTTGAGTCGATAAGTTATGAAAATTTTAGATTAATTTATCATTTTGTAATTCTCTACTAGTTAGTGTTATTATATAGAGCAAATAAAATCCTAAACATTAACTTTCCGCCCAATTTCTAAAAAATCTTGCTTTCTAATAAAATATATTATTTTCTAATTTTCTATTTGTACTATAATTCTAGGTTAAAATTTCTATTCTAATATTATAAAATAGCGTAATACAATTCATAATAGAATATTTTGTTTCCTACTTTCCTATTCGTACTATAATTCTACACTAAAATTCCTATTTGTAATATAATATTGAGTGGAACTAAGTTAGGGACTGGGCCGTCTGCTGAAGTCCTGGATCTGTATAACAAGGCCGAGGATAGTATGGAAAGAGGGATGCAGATATGGGAGGAGATGGAAGAAGAACGCCTTAATGGACTCTCAAAATGTGAAGAACATAAAGCTCAGTTGCAAAAAATGGGTTTGGACGGGCTACTCAAAGATGTCACACCCGAAGAATCTAAAGAGCGAGCTGCGAACATGAGGTCTCAGATTTACCTGTTATGGGGTACTTTGCTGTACGAGCGTTCTGTTATGGAGTATAAACTGAATTTGCCAACTTGGGAAGAATGTTTAGAAGTTGCAGTTGAAAAGTTTGAGCTAGCCGGAGCTTCTCAAATAGATATTGCAGTCATGATAAAGAACCACAATTCTAATGATACTGCATTGGAAGGTAAAGAACTGATATATAGTTTGGCTCTTCTTCTAAAGTAGGATATTGTTTTATTTATCAAGCTACATATGTTGTATTTATTGATGAATAGAAATGGCGATATCAACTATGGTAAGTATGAACTGTAACAGAGAGAATGGAAAAATATGCATTCATCTTAATAACCAGTTCTGGGAAATACACAGGGGGTATATCAAGGAAGGTGGCGATTACAACGGATCAAGGTGTAAAATACAAGAATGCTCATGTGATCTATTTACAAGACTGCCCCTAAGTGTTGTTATCTCCCATAGGTGTATTATTGTTACTTAATACCCCCCTGTAAGCTAGAGCGTGCAAATATTGCGTGCCCAACTTAGATACAAAATATCAAAATTGGGAAACTGGTAGCGGCTTGGTGAACCCGTCCGCCACCTGGTTTGACGATGACACAGATTGCAGCTTGATCAGCCTTTGGTTTAGTTTCTCCCGGACAATGTGACAATCAATGTCAATGTGTTTAGTGCGTTCGTGGAACACATGGTTCTCGACGATGGCTATTGCGGACTTACTATCACAATACATTGTGGCTGGTTTATCCATCTTGACCTGCAAGTCTTGAAGAAGAGTTGTGAGCCACTGTGTTTCACAAACTGTAGCAGCCATGGCTCGGTATTCGGCCTTAGAAGATGATCTGGAGACTGTAGCTTGCCTTTTGGATTTCCATGATATTAATGTTGGTCCAAGGAACACACAATAACCTGTGATTGACCTTATTGTTTCATTGCATGATGTCCAGTCTGAATTTGAGAATACTTTGAGGTGCATGCCCATATTTGTAGGATAGAATAGACCTTAGCCTCGATGTGCAGTAGTCAAGTGTTGGTCTTTAGGATTATCTACGAATTGACTCAGTTGTTGGATGGCATATGAGATGTCGGGTCTTGTTGCTGTTAGATATAACAGTTTTCCCACCAATCTTCTGTAGCTACTAGAATCTGCAAGTTGTTTATCATCCCGGCTAAGTTTTAGATTTTGTGCCATTGGTGTGCTAGCAGGCTTGCATCCAAGGAAGCCAGCTTCTTCTAGAATTTCCAGGGCATATTTTCGTTGGCATAAGTTTAAGCCTTTCTCGGTTCTCTTTGCTTCTATTCCCAGAAAGTACCCAAGAGCTCCCAGGTCTTTAATCTTGAATGTCTTGTCCAGAAAGGTCTTTAGCTCCTGAATGAGATCTTTTCTGGCACTTGTGATGAGAATATCGTCGACGTATACTAACAGAGCCATGAAGTCGGCATTGTTTCCTTTGGTGAATAGAGATGGATCAGCTTTTGATTGTTTGAATCCAATATTGCATAAGGCAGCACTTAACTTCGCATTCCACTATCTATTGGCTTGTTTGAGTCCGTACAATGATCTTAGCAACCAGCAGACTTGGTTTGGCTTTTCATTTTTGAACCCCGGGGGTAGCACCATGTATACTTATTCATTGAGATCCCCGTGAAGGAATGCGTTGTTGATATCCATCTGATGAATGTGCCAAGACTTGGAGACTACCATTGCATGGAAAATGCGAATAGTTGTAATTCTGGCCACAAGGGAGAAAGTTTCCAAGTAATCTATCCCAAGTTGTTGAGTATAGCCTTTTGCTACCAACCTTGCCTTGTGGCATTCCACAGTTCCATATGCCTTTAGTTTGGTTTTGTACACCCACTTGCACCCTATGGGGGTTTTGCCAGGAGGAAGGTCAGTTAGCTCCTAGGTTTGGTTTTGTTGTAGGGCTTCTATTTCTGCATCCATGGCTTTCTTCCAACACTCGTATTTGACTGCTTGAGAATAATTCTAAGGCTCACTGATGGCAGTTATGGCCATTGAGAAAGCTTTGTGTGGTGGTTCAAGAGTTTCATAGGATATGACCTTTGATAACAGGTGGGGAGTGGTTTTATTGCACAACAGATTCACAATAATAATCTTGCAGGCGGCTAGGTATGTGGCGTTTTCTAGAGGACCTTCTAGGTTGTGTGGGAGATATGGATTGAGACAGCTTTATGCTTTCTTCATTGTTGTTCATTGATGGGCTGCCATTATCCTCTTGTTCATGTGGTGCATTATCCAATGGTTCTTCAATTTTTTTGTCCACTGGATCATGAGAAAGATACTGCCTTGAACAGTCTGCATGTGATGAGAGCTGTCCGAGTAGCTATTGCTAGGAGGAGCTCTAATATCCACCAGATTATTTGCTTCTTGTGACCGGTCATCATCTACTTCTTGAAATTCGAATTCCTCACAATTGGATGTGGGAATTATAGGTAAGGGAAGACCAGCTGCATGGTAACCCACTCTTGGTAGTTTGACCATCCTTGTTAGCAAATGGAAAGCACTCTTCATAAAAAATCACATCACATGAGATAAAAGTAGATTGATCATGCATGTCATATAGTAAATAACCCTTTATGTTTGCAGGTACTCCAATAAAGACACACTTTATGCTTTGAGGGTCCATCTTGTTTTTTTATTAGTGCAAATTGGATGCATAGAACAAGCATCCAAGAACCCTGTGGGCAGTGAGGTCTGGTTCCTTGCCATACAATCGTTTGTAGGGGCTTGACCACTCAATAACGGGTGATGGGAGACGGTTGATAAGATAGACTGCATGCAAAACACACTGTCCCCAAGTTCCAGTGGAAGATTAGCCTGAAATCTCAAAGCCCTAGCTACATTCAATATATGTTGGTGTTTGCGTTCAACCACCGCATTTTATTGTGGTGTGTTAACGCAAGTCTTCTACTGAATTATGCCATTTTTAGAGAAGAAATCCCTCATGTTAAATTCCAAACCGTTATCACAACGGATGGTCTTGCTTGTGAGGCCAAATTGTGTGTGGGCCACCTTTTGAAACATCTTAATTAAACTCTGCGTTTCAGATATATTTCTAATCAAATGAACCCATGTATAACGTGAATGATCATCTACTATTGTTAAGAAGTACCTTTCCCCTCCCAAAGCTTGAATCAAAAAAGGACCCCAAATATCCACACGAACCAATTCAAAACAAACTTTGGACATAGTGTTGCTTAAAGGAAAAGGAGACCTCTTATGTCTTGCAACATGACAAATATCACATGTTGTTTTCTTGATATGAGAAATTGGAACTATCACTAAGCAAATACATGTTATTCAAAGGAAAATGACCAAGCCTGCGGTGCCAAATTTTAGTAGTACAAGACATGGCAAAACACTGATGATTAAGTTTCTGGACTCCTGGTAGCTCAAGCAGCAAATATAGTCCATTTCCTTGCTTAGCAAAACCAATTGTCTTCCCATGATTCCCCCGGAGAAGACACTGTTGAGAAGTGAATATTAACTCATAAGAAGAATCCTGAAGAAGTTTGCTAACAGATATTATATTAAAGTTGAAAGATGGTACATATAAAACATTTCTCAAACACAGATTATCCTTCAATTTTATGTTCCCCACATGTGTGACATCTGCTTGATTCCCATTAGGTAAGTTGACTGTTGTCCCTTCCACTAGATAATAATTCTCAAAGAAATCCAAGGAACATACTATATGATCACTAGCCCGGAATGCAATATCCAAGAAGAAGATTGCAAGAAAATAGAATTAACATTAGTATTGGTAGTGGACTTGCCTTAGCCTGGTGACTTTGTATTGGTTTTAGGCATGAAGGCAATTGCAGTAGTGGTTGGGGACTGATTCTGTCCTATCTGGATTTGCAAGAGAGAAATCAGTTTCTGGAGATGCTCATTCGTGGTGTTTGTGTTGGCATCACTGGTCACAGAGGTGGATGCTGCTGCCATAGCTTACTGCTTATTCTTCGATTTGAATCCCGGTACCCATTCGGGGGGATATCCGTGTTTTTTGTAACACTTCTCAACCGTGTGTCTTGTCATGCCGCAATAGGTACATTTTGCAGTTTTATTCCCACCTCCAGTATTATTGAACTTCCTGTTGTTATAGAAATTGACAGCAGCTACAATCTCTTCAGCATTATTAAGATTGGTTTGAGCAGCATTGGCATGACTTACCTCTAGACGGTTCAGATTTAGATTCTCAGCATTCAACTACCTCTCGTATTTCTCAGCCATGACAACTACACTGTGCATGTTCGGTAGGGGGTCAAGAATGAGCACTCCAGATTTCAGCGAGTTATATTTGTCATTCAATCCTTGCAAGAACCTGATAATCTGGTCCACTTCACTATGATAATGTAACACCCCATGTTACGGCCTTCAATCCCGGATTAATTATTTAATTAATCCCGTTAATAATAATTAAATATGATTTAATTCGGTTAGGTTTCCCTTTAATTAATTAATTAATAAGGTCCACCATGAACCGTGGACCCTTGCCTAAATTAGAGTCTTAAGCCTATTAGGAATAAAGAAAGTAAACCTTTTACTATTCAGATTCTAATTAGGAATCCTAGACCTAGTTATCTATTAGGAATAAAGGAAGTAGGCCTTTTTACAATTCAGATTATGATTAGGATTCTCTTTAATTAATTAATATGGTCCACTATGGACCATGGACCCTTATCCCTAAAACAAGTCCTTAGTCCTATAAGGAATGGAATTAGCAAGCCCATAGTATTTAGACCCCAATTATGACTCTTAGGAATATATATATATATATATATATATAGAGAGAGAGAGAGAGAGGATCATAGGAGGCACCTAAATCTTACACCACAATAATCTCTCACTCTTCCTAGTCACCTTCCCGCGGGTCCCCAATGGGAGCTTGATGGGACCCTAACGGGTCCTTGACGGGACCTTGGCGGGACCTTGACGGGTCCCTGACAGGAGCTTGGCAGGCAGATGACCGCCCACCTCGCGCCCACTGGTACAATATGCTGATTTCTTAACTCCTCGTTTTATTGATTCATGGCGCGCTTGTGTGCCTCGGTTGATGAACGTGAGTCTTGGGTAAAGAACAATGGGTTGCCCAAACATGGTGTCCTCGGTAAAAGACCTTGACACGCGAAACACCGTCAGAAAAGCACAACCAATTGGATTACACGTGGAGTTGAAGTTGGACTCTACAATGCAACCGACTAGGGATGATTGGCGTGAAGGATTGTGCAAACCAAGGAGGCGAGTTGGGAACTCGTGCTAGGGACTCACAAAGGCCTTAAAAGCCAAATTGCTAAGGATGGACCAGGACCCCTTCAAACCATGGATATCATTCAAGCAAATCAGAGGGCTCCTTACAAGTTGTATGAAATCAAGAATGACGTAGTCCGTGGTGCTAGGCAAAAAGTAAAAGAGCAAATTTGTGCCAAGGCCTCAAGGGTTATTAAGGACCCACAAGGAAATGAGATGACTCGTAAAGTCACCGAGTCATTCCGCAACGAGATTAGGAAACCAACTGTGCTTCAAGAAGGAAAAGAGCATGCAAGGGCACCTTCATCATTAAAAGTAACACAAAAGGGCACAACAAGCCGAACCTCGGGGAAGACATGAAGTCTTACTAAGAATTTCATTCACTAAAGAGGAGATGAAATTCAATAAGAAGAGAAAGTCAACCCAAAGTTTATCGATTCCCAAGAGACTTTGGGAAGAATTTGGGAAGTGTGCCCTAAGAGATTGGCTTGGTTGACCAAACTTGGTCAAGACCTTGGACGCATTAAAGAAGTAAGTGTTAAATCATCATGGGAGATGCCCTCAAGATAGGAGAGAAGGATGAAACTTTAGCTTGGGAAGCAAGGTCTAACAAGGATCTTAAAGTCAAGAAAGTGCCAACACCAAGGAAGAAGGATCATCAGTTCGTCAATACGACGTGATCAAAGCATCAAACCAGAATAGTCACTTAAGATCGAGAACCCTTAACCCATCCTAGCCGAATTCCTTTCCCTCCCTCGGAAAATCGGCCCCCTCCTTATTTCAAAACTCTTTCTACCCTTCAAACCACATTCTTGATTCCCTATTTTAACGATTCCATACAAGGTGGCAACCTCACACCCTAAGTTGCAACCTTGAAAACTTTGATCCTAATTCCTAAATTCACTTTGTCCTCGGGTTTGAAACCCACTCTCTTAGCCCTTTAAACCTAATCATTCCCAAAAACCCAGCACACATAGACATACAATTATACAGTTTCCCCGTAGAATACTTTCTCTATAGGACCCCCGTACTACTTTTGACTCGTTACCCCAGCAATGATGTCTAAGCTTCAGGGACGAAGCTTCTCGTAGGGGGGGGGGGGAGAGTGTAACACCCCGTGTTACGGCCTTCGATCCCGGATTAATTATTTAATTAATCCC